AATCGACTTCAAGGCAAGAATGTCATGACAAATAATGATCTTACCACCATTACTACATGGATCAACAACAAGGGCTACAATGATAACAACGATCCACACCGCAAACAAGTCTGCAACCTTCTAAAATGAAAAGGTAAGATTGCCTGTAAAACCATATTAAATAAATCATATGTACAGTTGAAACCAGAAGTTTACATACCCCGTATGACGAGACACAACCTTTTTTTTACTTCACTATCTGACATTAAATGAGACTAAACTTTTGCTGTTTTAGGTCAGTTGGCCATCACAAAGCCCTGATCTCAATCCAATAGAACATTTGTGAGCAGACCTGAAAATTGTGTGGAGCAAGGTGGTTTACAAACCTGACTCAGTCATACCAGTTCTGTCAGCAGGAATGGGCCAGAATTCCAGCAAACAGTTGTGAAAAACTTGAGGAAGGAAACCCAGGATGTTTGACCCAAGTCATACAGTTTAAAGGCAATGCTACCAAATGCTAAGGAAATGTATGTAAACTTCTGACCTTGAAGAAAGCACTAAAAAGAAGTTTAGTCAGATTTAATGTCAGATAGTGAGAAAAAAAGGCTATATGTCTTGTTATACAGGGTATGTATGTAAACGTCTGGTTTCAGCTGTATATCATTCATATATGTGTGTTTTTAGTCCTTGAATAGTTAAGAGGTTTAAGGTACATGGAGTAGAGTCGCACTTTGATGGAAAACATCTAAATTTACCATAATAGAACTAAGTACAATCATAAGGGGATTTGTTCCGCTTTACACCACTTTGATTTCCATAATAGAAATACATCGGCCCTCTAAGCACAAACAACTCAACTGTTAACTTGCTCAACTTGTCATTATTTTTAAAGGCTACATTTTACAATGATGAGCCTTTGAGAGACCTGATAATTGTGATATTTCAGAAAATTGACATATTTAGTATCTCCTAAACAGAGAGAAACAAAAGTAAATAAAATTGATACATCTCGAGAATTTTTAGGAGGGCTCTGATATAATGTTCAATATTTTTTGTCAGCAGAGACCCTCTGATCTACTCCAGGACCCTCTGCAATGTGACCTTTTCCAAGCCAGCAAGGACAGATAAGAAGATGCTGTTAGGATCATATATTTTATGTTCATGTTTTGATAATCTTTCATTATTATCTTAATCTCTTGTTACTATCTTAAGGCATAATCAACATAACTCATAATCAATTGCAGCATGAGAAAACATAGGTAGAAACGGGATTTGGTGGTTTGTGTATATCTTCCTCTGTCACAAGCAGGTATTTGCAGAAGGGAGAAACTCAGGGTGCTCAACAGTTGGGTGTTGAGTGGCAAGTTTCTGCAACTACATGATGGTGGAAGAAGGCCCAAGGACACGGAGGAACCAATCAGCTAGCTGCAACACATTCTGTGCACATTCTCATGTAATAGTATAAGTATACTGGATCAGGGAGAGGCAGTCAGTCAGACTTCGTGCCCTGACATTAATTTTGTTGGTGATAGGGTGAGAAGTTTGATCCAGAGCTCTGTATGCTTATTCAACTATCTGATAAATAAATACATTGAGTGAGACCTAAATATCTTATCTCCTTTTGCTTCATTAAACAAACGCGCAGGAGCGATCTCACACATAGTTTGATTTCTGGTAGATTGAGATTCAGCTCTAACAGTTCTCAACGATGCCAGCATGCGTACAGACTGAGAGCCAAAGAGAGATGGAGGCACAAAAAGGAAAGAAATAT